CAAAGCATGCTAAAACTTAGTAGCCTAAAACAATAAGCTTTTCTTTTCTTTTCTTTTTTTAATATATTTTATTGATTTTTTACAGAGAGGAAGGGAGAGAGATAGAGAACTAGAAACATCAATGAGAGAGAAACATCGACCAGTTGCCTCTTGCACACCCTCTACCGGGGATGTGCCCGCAACCAAGATACATGCCCTTGACCGGAATCGAACCCGGGACCTTTCAGTCCGCAGACCGATGCTCTACCACTGAGCCAAACTGGTTTCGGCAAGCTTTTCATTTTTAATTTGTTGATTTTTGTTGTTGTTTTTTGTTGTTGTTTTTTGTTTTGTTTGTTTTTTGCTTATGAATCAAACATTTCTGCTTTTGGTTGTGCTTACTCATTCACATGTCTTCAGTCAGCTAGCTGCAGATCAGACTCATTATGTTAGGCTCTCATGTTTGGGGTTCAGCTGGCTTTAGATGGTACAGCTCATCCCTCTCTGCTCCATGTGGTGTCATCGTCCAGTAGACTAGTTGGATTTGCTTTAATGGCAGAACCAGGGTTCCAGGAGAGGCCTAGAACTGGCACTCTGTAACTCCCACCACATTACCAAAGCAAGTCGGACGGCTTGGCCTGGTTTAGGAGATAGGAATAGAACCCACCTCCTGATGCATTGCAAAAGGGATTGAATAAGAGAGGTCATTGTTGGGAGTGTTCAGTTTAATGTAACTATGTTACCCTTGTATATACATGGGGATTGGGATAAGAACTTTAAAAAAAAAAAATTTTATTGATTTTAGAAAGGAAAGGGAAGGGAAAGATAGATACATCAATGATGACAATCATTGATCGGCTGCTTCCTGCACATCTCATATTGGTGATTGAGCCCGCAACCTGGGCATGTGCCTTGACCGGGAATCAAACCGTGACCTCCTGGTTCAAAGGGCAACCTCAACCACTGAGCCATACCAACTGGACTGGGATAAGAATTTATGTTTGCTTATTTGTACCTAGAAAGAATGGAATAATACATAAGAAACCAATTAAAATGGTTACCTATTGAGTGGAGTTTGTAGGGACACAGGCAAGGGATATTTCTTTTTATATTGATTTTGAACCATATAAATGTATGTTTATACATACAAAAAAACACAAAATTATATACCTTCAGCCTCTGCCTCCAAAGATCATTCTCTCTAAAACTTCCCAATTGTTTTTTAGTTAGGAGTCTGATTTGTTTTCAAGGAATGTGGTTTTGCCCAGCTGATGTGGCTTAGTAGTTGAATTGGATTTGCAATGACTATTAATAAATCACAAGGACAAACTCTAGACAGAGTATGAATAGTCCTGCCTGAATCAGTTTTCGGACACAGTCAGTTATATGTTGCTTTCAAGTTCGAAGAGTGTGTAACATTGAAGTTGTAAATATTTCATCACAAGGGGAATTGAATTAGTCAAGCACTTTGAAAGTGTTTTACTCTTAATGTGGTATACAGGGATATATCAGAATAAGTTTAATCAATTTACCAGTCATTGTTTTTATCAATGTTTTTATATCATGTCTTTGTGTTGTTGTATCATGTTGTTATTATTATTTATTAATCAATTTATATATTATTTTCATATACATCTTACTAATTTTCTTGAATTTCTGACACTTCTATTATAGAGAAAGGGTGAATAGCAATATTAAAATGTTAATTTCTAATTAATTATCTTTCAGTGTGCATGAGTCCGTGCACTAGGCTACTAGTGTTGAAAATTTTACTCACAAAGATTAAATTATTTGATAAAAATTCATTAGTAACAGAATGAGGATTCACGGCAAATCTCTTAGTCTCTGTACTCATGCTTTTTCATTGCTTGAAACATGAGGAATAACTAGTGTTGCAGGTTTGTGAACAGTGACCTGAACAAGAGATGGGTAGTTTTAATCTGTAAATAGTACTCTGGAGGCTAAGTTTTACCCAGTATCTAAGCTTTACTTGGTATATTATTTAGTATTCTGCATTTGGGCAGCTCTGAGGTTTTTCATTCTGTCAAGTACTGAATGTTAAAACACACCTCATTGCTAAGTCCTCTTCAGGCCTTTGGCGCCCTTCCTGTAAAGGCAGGTGGTCTGAAGAAAGGCTCCTGCTAGGTTATTACACACCATACACAACACATAACAGTGCGAGACAACTGTCAGTTCCTTCCTTCCCTACCCCGTCCCCAGTCCTCCAGAAAGCTGGGCCCCAGATGGAAGTGCTGGAAATGTGTCAACTTTTCTCTGAAGGGCATTGAGAAAATACTGTCAGGAAGAAAAAGGCTAGTGCAACAGCTCATTAGTCCACTAATCAGACAGGACAACCATCAATTTTACAAAGAACATGTCCTGGACAGAGAGAGGGGGAAGGCTGGCAGAGTGTTACCCACATGGCTCTTGGAAAGCTGCACATTTTTGTTGGGGAATTTGCAATTTAGGAACATTGCTTCCTTGATTGACTTCCTGCATTCATTATATTTCTTCCCAAAAATGTGGCAAATTGAAGCATTAAAAATAATATTTGGGGATATTTTCCTCATTAGACCATGCCCATGAATGTGCGAAGATGTGCTTATTGCCATGCCATGAATGCTCTTGTATGTATTGTTTACAGCTGTGATGCCACTGAAAGAAATCTTTGATTTAACATTCTCATTTGAACCTTTGGTGTCCATTTCTTGTACTTCGCTTGAATTTATTGGAGAATAAATACATGGAACTTAAGTGAAAAACTTTGAATTACTGAAAGGCAAATAGCTCAATTTAAAGGTGATTATGGTAGCCTTGGCTCTATTATTAACCAAGTATATAACAAGTTCCCTTTAATGGGGAAAATTACTTTGAAGATATTAAAATATTACTCTTCAGAATCAAGTCTTTTTTAAAAATATTTTTTTATTGATTTCAGAGAGTAAAGGAAAGGGAGAGAGAGAAACATTAATGAGAGAAAATTATTGATTGGCTGCCTCCTGCACACCCCACACGGGATCAAGCCCACAACCCAGGCATGTGCCCTTGACTGGAATCGAACATGGGACTCTTCTTTCCACAGGATGATGCTCTGTCCACTGAGCCAAACCAGCTAGGGCTCAAATCTTATTTATATATGAGCTCAGTCCTAATTCTAATGTCAGTAAGTATAATCGATAAAATTTATCTTTTCTGGAATTTGTTTCTGTCTAATATTATCAAACACTGCTTATGTATTATCTCCATGGGTGAAGTAGTCTATGCTTGGTTTAGAATCATTTCTACTTTTCATCTTTTTGAACAAATATTATAAGTGACATTTATATGCCTGATATTAAAAATGTTGAACCCACATCTTTTTTCCTATTAGAGTAGTTGATATGTGTAAGAATTTAGCCCAGGACAGTATTGCTTGATAGTTAGAGTGTCCACTCATACACTGAAGGGCCCAGCTTCAATTCCTAGTCAAGGGCACGTACCTAGATTGCAGGTTCTATCCTATTTGCAGAAGACAACCAATCAGTGTGTCTCTCACATCAATGTTTTCATATATGTGTCTCCCCTCCCTCTCTTCCACACTCTAAAAATCAATGGAAAAATAACCTTGGGCCAAAACTGGTTTAGCTCAGTGAATAGAGCGTCGGTCTGTGGACTGAAAGGTCCCAGGTTTGATTCCAATCAAGGGCATGTACACTGGTTGCAGGCACATTCCCAGTGGGGATTGTGCAGGAGGCAGCTGGTCGATGTTTCTCTCTCCTGGATGTTTCTAGCTCTCTATCCCTCTCCCTTCCTCTCTGTAAAAAATCAATAAAATATATTTTAAAAATATATCCTTGGGTGCGTATTAGCAACAACAACAAAAATTTAGTATTTCACTCATAGTAATTTATATATTATACAACTGATTATTGACACTGATCTAAATAGTTCCCCATTAGTTTTTTCCCCTTATTAACTTGATTCACTTATAAAGAGAAGTTATACAGAATGTAGTTGAGATCAGCAGAATTTATAAACTGTTTTTGTTTTTTTTCTTTCCCAGCCACTATCCTCACTATTAACTTTCTTGTCTCATCAATCTTTGACCTTGTTGCCTTGTTTCAGTATTTTAGGATTGCTGTAGCAAAGTTCCATAGACCGGGTGCCTTAAAACAATAATCTTCTCTCATAGTTCAGGGGGCCAGTGGTCTAAAATTAGGTATCAGGAGGGTTGATTCCTTCTTGAGGCCTCAGAGGAAGAATCAATTCCATACCACTCTTCCTGGCTTCTAGTGCTGGCTGATAACCCTTGCCATTCCTGGGCTTGAAGATGCCTCATTCAATCTATGCCTCCATTGTCACACTGTGTCCTCTCTGTATGATTGTGTCTCCATGTAGTCTGTTTGTGTATGTATCTCTTCAGCTCTTCTCATGAGGGTTCCTTTATACAGTAGGTTCTCAGGTTACATCAGAGAGCCATTCCTATGGCGCGATATAATGCGATTTTCACTGTAAGTTGGAACCCACCTACATAAGCACCTACGTCACTCACATGGAGCACATGCACAGCAGTAATGAAGTGAAACTGTAAAAAATTTTAAAAGAAAAATAACAATTCCTGACCTTTTCTTGTGGTAAATAAATAATAAAAGACATAAAGCACATATGCACATATGTCAAAATGACAGAACTTTTAAAAAAAATATATAAATGGGAGATGGCGACATAACCACAAAACAACTTTCGCCGAGTCCTACGGACTGCCTCTATTGGAATTGGAGCCCACCAGATAACCCAGGATTATCTCCTCCTCTGAAAACTAACTATATTTTCAAAGACCCTTTTTCCAAATAAGGAAACATTTACAATTCAAGAGATTGAGAGGTAGATATCTTTTTGAGGACCACTATTCAGTCTATTAAACTAAGCATTTTCTTCTCAGTCCTCTAGGAAAATACCGGTATGTTAGTATTTCAAATTATTGTCACTATTTTTATTATTTTATAGAAAACTCTGACCTCCATTTCTTTTATTCTCTACAGTTGGTCCTGAGAAAAGGGTGCCAGCAATGCCTGGATCGCCTGTGGAAGTGAAGATACAGTCAAGATCCTCGCCTCCCACCATGCCACCCCTCCCACCAATAAACCCCGGAGGACCCAGACCAGTGTCATTTACTCCTACGGCGTGTGAGAACTCTTAGTTCCTTGAGTTTGTGATTCAGAGTGACATTTGTATCTAAGTGACTGGCTCCCATTAAGCCTTCTGCATATACCATTCACAAGCTTTTCAAAATGGCTATTAAAAGAGATATATCTCAGAAATGTATATCTGGTTATTTCTTTTATAGATTGCTTTTGCCCTCTGAGAATAGTACTTAGCTAATTTGGGCATTTGGAAATTTAATAGTCCCAATATTTTTTTTCATACTCTTTGTCTGGGAAGTAGGTGTTTTAAATTCTTGAGTTCTAAAATAATGAATTAAAGTTAGATTGATTTATAAGAATTAAAGTAAGATTCATAAACTCATTGAATTATTTATAAAAGTTTTCCAGGACGATCATGCTAATAAGTCTCTTTACAAAAAAGAGAATATTATATTAGTTTGCTAGGGCTGCCATAACAAAATACTATAGACTAGGTAGTTTAAACAATAGAAATTCATTTTTTTAAAAGTTCTAGAGCAGCTGAAACCGGTTTGGCTCAATGGATAGAGCGTTGGCTTGGGGACTGAAAGGTCCCGGGTTCGATTCCGGTCAAGGGCATGTACCTTGGTTGCGAGCATATCCCCAATAGGGGGTGTGCAAGAGGCAGCTGATCGATGACTCTCTCATCGATGTTTCTAACTATCTCTCTCCCTTCCTCTCTGTACAAAATCAATAAAATATATTTTAAAAAAAAAAAGTTCTAGAGCACTGTTTCCCAAAGTGTGGTACCCGTACCCCCAGAGTTATAGAAAGAGTTTGGTGGGGGTACTCGTTGCACCAGAGTTTGGTGGGGATACGCACTGCACCGTGCTTAGCTGCGCCTAATACATCCATTTTTTTTTTTTGAGGGGTACTCAGCATTACGAAAATTATAGAAGAGGTACACATATGTCAAAAGTTTGGGAAACACTGTTCTAGAGGATAGAAATCCAAGATCAAGGTGTCAGCAGGTTTGATTTTTTTATCCCCTGAGACCTCTGTCCTTAGCTTGCAAAAGCTGCCTTCTTGCTATAATCTCCCATGCCCTTGCCTCTGTGCCAATACATTCATGTTGTCCCTTTCTCTTCTTAGGAAAACAGTCAAAATGGATCAGGGACTACCCATATGACATCAATTAACCTTTAAAGGTCCTATCTCTAAATATAGTCACATTCTGAGCTACTGAGGGGTTAGAACCTCAACATGGGAATTTATAGGGGACAGAATTCAAATAATAAGAATTTGCCGAAACCAGTTTGGCTCAGTGGATAAAGCGTTGGCCTGCGGACTGAAAGGTCCCAGGTTCGATTCTGATCAAGGGCATGTACCTTGGTTGTGGGCACATCCCCAGAGGCAGCTGATAGATGATTCTCTCTCATCGATGTTTCTAACTCTCTATCCCTCTCTTTTCCTCTCTGTAAAAAATCAATAAAATATATATTTTTAAAAAATTATATTAGCCAATAAGTCTGAGGCGTTCAACTTAAGTAGTCATCCAGGAAATGCAAACTAAAATCTAGATCAATACCATGTACACCCACAAGAATGTTCAAAGTGAAAAGAATTGTCAAGTGTTGGTGAGTATGTGTGGAGCAACCTGAACACTCACACATTGTTTAAGTATGACAAAATTGTTTGTCAGTATCTTCTAAAGCTGAATTTTCACAAATTTTATAACTTAACGAATTCAGTCATACATATATATTAAAAACAACAACAACAACAAAAGCTTCAATTTAAAATCTAAAATCTAGAGAGAGACACACACATATCTATATTTTAATTTGTGTTTTGTCTTTCCATGCCCATGCTACATCCAGTTCACATTGTCGCTTACAGACATTTAGCCTCATAAAGCAGAAAATTTCTATTTGGATACTACCCATCCATATCAAGTTAGAGCAATGTACTAGGTGCTATATGCATTTTCTTACCTAAACACCATTGCACAAGCTTGCACAGGGGATATGTATATATAAATTTGGTCCTTTTTACCTCCATATTTGACTTCTTGGGGGTGGACATGTTTTATTTCAGAATATGTAATCATATGCTTTCACTAAAGAGGCCATGAAAAAGCTTGTATGGGCATCAGAGCGGCTAAAAGCACAATAATGTATTATTCTAATGGGCTGTTTCAAAAAAGGGCAGCTCTCAGTGGCAGTTGACCTTTCTGTGAACACAAAGAAATGGCAGACCATTGCAACTAATTTACAGGATTGCTAAACCTGAGTGTAGAGCAAGTAGGTGTTTCTTTCCAGTAGCTCTAGTGATCTTTTTAATGAAAGACTTAAAAGAATTAGATGTCCTTCTCTTTGCTCTAGTAGTACTCTACTCTTCTGTTTTAGTACCTTTTATGTTACTCTGCTATTTTTTTTAACTGACAGTATGTCTCAATCTTGTTGGTTAGAAATAATGTCTTGTGTACTCTTAACACATGCTTTACAAAATTGGAGTGAATAAATGGAGAATGCAAACAAGAAGGATGTATCAAAGATTCTTGTGTTTTGCATTGAGTCTTTCATTTGGCTTTCTTTTAGTAAGCAATGGCACCAACCATTCTCCTCCTACCCTGAACGGTGCCCCATCACCACCACAAAGATTCAGCAACGGTCCTGCCTCTTCCACATCATCTGCACTAACAAATCAACAATTGCCAGCCACCTGTGGTGCTCGGCAGCTCAGCAAGTTAAAACGCTTTCTCACCACTCTGCAACAGTTTGGCAATGACATCTCACCTGAGATTGGGGAGAAGGTTCGGACACTTGTTCTAGCACTGGTGGTAAGTACAGCATCACTGTCAACAGTTGCCTGCATATATGGCTCAAAACTGAAGCCAGCAGAGAAGCTGTAAATATTTCTGCTCACTCCCAATCCTGTAGCAATGTGGCAAAATCTACAAACTAGATTAGTTATTAATATAACTTGTGTAAAATTGTTAATTTGTGGATTTCAATCATTTATAAAAATGTTTTTCAAGCCCAGCCAGTGTGGACCAGTGGTTGAGCATTAACCAATGAACCAGACGGTCACAGTTCAATTCCCTGTCAGGGCACATGAATAGATTATAGGCTCTATCCCCAGTAGAAGGTGTGCAGGAAGCAGCCAATCGATGGTTCTCATTGATGTTTCTATCCCTCTCTCTTCCTCTCTCTGAAATCATTAAAATAAGTTTATTAAAGAACAGATCTATAATGTTTACCTAATAGTTTCTTATGCTGTTAATTTATTCCATTAAGAAACTTTGAATATGCCATAAAACTGAGTTTCAACAAGCCATTGAGGTTCAACCAAATTAACAACAGGCTTTGTTACTTAATATATTCAGTGTCTGGTGCATTGTTTCCAAGCCAGAGAAAAAGGAAAAGTATCGAGCTTAATTTTCAGACAAATAATTTGTAAAATTAAAAATTTCATTATTTAAACAAATAGTAATAAATAATATTAAAGAAGTGTTCTACAGCTCCTCATGAAAATACAGTTTCTTTGGAGTTTTTAATGTTCACACAGTTTTTCTTTCAATACTGTACTGAGTGTGGTGAACCCATGGTAAAAGGGAGTGATTTTTCTGACTGATAGCTGGGTAGGGTTTGACTCTTCAGTGTAGATAAGGGAAGTTCTACCAGTTCCCAAAGTTTGTAAAACGAATTCTTCAAGATTTATTTCCAGTAAAAGCACCCCATGCTCCTGCATGTTAGCCTCTATATGTGGTAAAGATGAATCACAGTATTAAACTTTCATGTTGCACTTTTCAGAGTGTAATCAGGGACCCCTGGGATTCTCTCAGACTGTTAGAGAGCCCAAGAGGTAAAAATTATTTTCATGATCATACTAAGATGTTACTTGCCTTTTCACTCTTATTCTCTAGTGAGTGTGATAGAATTTTCTAGAGATTGTTTGATACAGGATGTTGCAACAGATTAAATGCAGAAGCATCTTGAAGAACCCAGCTGTCTTTTATTAAGCTAGATATGAAAGAGATTTGCAAAACTGTAACAACCCTTCAATGCAGAAGGCACATATTTGGCTTTTTTTTTTTAACTTTGAATTTAGAAGACTCGAGGAACTGATGCTAAGAGATAGGCAGAACCTATGAAGAAAACAACTTCTGAAGGAATGAGGCACTGGGTTGAGTCTTTTAAGTTGACATCCTAGACTGATCCGAATCTATTCAACTGCAAACATTGTAATATGGTTCCTGTGCCTGCGGTGTTGCCAAGACCCCTGCAGTTCAAAGGCCTTGGGTGCCTGTCTTCACAGGGAGAAAGACGGCGCCCTATTCTGCAGCCCAGGCTGCTGACCTTTGAGGGGAATGTAGATAGATTGGGGTAGTAAAGAAAGGACAGTCAAACTTTGTTTATAAAGGAAATAATTTGGTTAACTTTTGAGAAGGATCTGAGATCACAATAGTACTCTTGAAATTATACTTTGTGATTTAAAAGGGATTTATATGAGGACAGCGTCTACTTTTAGAAGTTAAAGAAGGTTATTTCTCTTTTCAGAACTCAACAGTAACAATTGAAGAATTTCATTGCAAGCTCCAAGAAGCTACAAACTTTCCTCTTCGTCCTTTTGTGATTCCATTCCTCAAGGTAATTTTTATGAGATAATTACTGAATGTAATTATTTACCTTAACATTTTATCAAGATCTGCTACTGATCCCTGTTTTGTGATCTAAATTTGGGCAGCTTGCACATTTTCATATCTTTATTTTGGGCTGCTAGAAAAATGTGAGTGTAGTCTGCAGGTGAGTCTTACACTTGATGAGATTTACAAAAGCCTTGTGTTGTGGTTCATATGCAGATTCTGCTAATAACACACAGGAGCTCCTGTGAATGGACCAGAGGTATAGGGGTGGTATGGAGGCTGGGGTCTTAGCAGAAATAACTAGACACTAAATCTTTGGGTTGTGGCCAGAGTGTGAAGAAATGTCTTATCTATGAGGAGGTTATCAGACAGAAGAGAGGCCTTTGCAGCTCAGACTCCTAACCTTGAGGCAGTAATTTTCATTTCATGGCACACAAACTAATTACCGAAATTCTGCAGCACACCAAGAATATAATTTTTGATGATATAACCAAGAAAATAGGTATAATTTTGGTTCATTCACATGAGACAGCTATTGTTGTGTTGGTTGTTGTCTTTTTTTTTTTTTTTTTTACAATCGAAGAGACAAGAAATCAGTGCTCCTGACTAAATAGTCACGTACTGCATGTTTTAAAAATTTCTGCAACACACCGGTTGAAAATTGCTGCCCTAAGGACAGGAGAGTATGTGGAAAAGCACTGTATCCCCAGTTTTGTATAGCTCAATTCTCTGGAATTACTGTTCCCTGAAACATAGCCTTATATGTAATATGTCCTTTAAAAAAATCTTTATTTTTAAATAATTTCATGCTCACAGAATAGTTACAAAATGATACAAGAACATTTTTTCTGTACCCTTCTCTCAGATTCCCCAGATGTTAATATTTTATCATCTGGATTATTATTCTCTTTGTCTTTAGATTTATTTTTTTCCTCAGGAATGTTTGAGAATAAGCTATAGACATGATATATTGAATCACTTTAGTATAATTTTCAAATTAAAAAATTAAAATTGATAAAATTCTATTACTATAGAACCTATCATTTTTCATCAAATATTCCACTAATAATATTTACAGCAAATGAAAACCTTTAATTTTTGGATCACATTTTGCTTTTTTTTTTTTTTGTCATTTCTTTTTTTTTTTTTTTCCTTGTTAATTCTCACTCAAAGATATATTTTCCATTGGTTTTTTAGAGAGAAAGGAAGGGGGGAGAGAGAGAGAAACATCGATATGAGAGAGACACATTGATCTGTTGCCTCCTGCATGCACCCCTACAGGACTGGGGATCGAACCTACAACCCCGTTATGTGCCCTTGACAAGGAATCAAACCCAAGACCCTTTAGTCTGCAGGCAGACACTCCAACCACTGAACGAAACTGGCCAGGGCTATTGGCATGTCTCTTTAGTCTACTTAATCTACAATAACCTCTCAGTGTTTTACAATATGATCTTGATATTGTTAAAAAGTATGAGATGGTTAATTTATAGATGTACCTCAATGTGGATCTTTCTGACACTTCCTCATGATGAGAATCATGTTATGCATTTTAGGCAGTAAATAGCAGCTAAGATATAACTTCTGTCAGGAGACATAGGTGTTAATTGGTCTCATAATTGGTGATGTTGACTTTGGTCACTTGGTAAAGACTATGTCATGCTTTCCCACTATAAAGTCTCTATTTCTTCCTATTAAATGATAACTTTTAAAACCAGGTATTGCATCATTATGACTCACAGAGGAAAAATGAACCCATGTCAAAGATTTTATTTAGTTCATTATTAATGAATCAGTAAGGTGTTAGTACCAGTTCAGGAGAGAACCCAAAGAATAGATACATTTAAAATCAGTATTATTAATATGAATGAGCAGAGGTATAATTGACTTCGTCTACAGTGGGCAAGAGAAGTCAATTAAATCTCTACTGGACATAATTTTATGCAAGTCCATAGACAGTAATTACTTTGCATTGCTGTCAGTTCTCTATAATTTGCAGAGTTATGGATAGCATAAAGGCAGTGAAAAACTATAGTAAGGTATGGGGGGGTGCAATGGTAAGATATGTACACATATAATACCTTAATATAAAAATAAAAAACTATAGTAAGATATCAGTGTGCTCTAGATCAGGCATAGTTTAATCTGTAACTGACTGTGTACAACCATTTGTGATAACTCACTACCTCCGGACCAGCTCTAGGCATAGTTTAAACACCTGTAACCCACATATAGCCTACCACATGGTTTTATGCAGCCTTGCAGAGACATTGTATGCATATATACATAATTCATAGACACAGACAATAAGGTGGTGGGGGCAGGGGCAGGCTGGAGGAGGCCAATAGTGGGTAAAGGGGGACATATGTAATACTTTCAACAATAAAGATTAAAATAAATTAATAAATTTAAAAGAATTGGTTTTACAAATGAACATTTGTAATTGATTTGGTAATAGGGAACACTCTTTGAATCCCAATTAAGTTGTTTTCCTTAATCCACTCCCTTTCTAAATTAATTCCATTCTTTTCATTAGCCTGATATTACCAAAAAACTATATTCAATTGTTTGTTTGTTTGTTTGTTTTTATATATTTTATTGATTTTTTACAGAGAGGAAGAGAGAGTGATAGAGAGTCAGAAACATCGATGAGAGAGAATCATCGATCAGCTGCCTCTTGCACACCCCCTACTGGGGATGTGCCCGCAACCAAGGTACATGTCCTTGACCGGAATCGAACCTGGGACCCTTCAGTCCTCAGGCCGATGCTCTATCCACTGAGCCAAACCGGTTTTGGCTACTCAATTGTTTTTATATTTTGTCTTTTGTCAGGATAATATTTAGAAATTTGTTTTCCTATTTTGTATATGTGTATCCACCTAATATCCTCAATTATGCCCCTTAACTCTCAAAGCCTAAATATCTGGCTAGTAAATATCTTCTTTTACTTTACCTTCATTTCGTACAAAAATGTAATGGCATCAAAAAGGTAGGTAATCTGTCCTGGCTTGTGTGGCTCAGTTGGTTGGATCATCAATCCATACACCAAAGGTGGCTGGTTCGATTCTCAGACAGGGCACATATCAGGTTCCATGTTCAATCCCTGATCGGGACACATGTGAAAGGCAACAGCTTTTTAAAAAAGAGAAAAGACGCCGGGACCGGTTTGGCACAGTGGATAGAGCGTCGGCTTGGGGACTGAAGGGTCCCGGGTTCGATTCCGGTCAAGGGCATGTACCTTGGTTGCGGGCATATCCCCAGTAGGGGGTGTGCAAGAGGCAGCTGATCGATGACTCTCTCTCATCGATGTTTCTAACTCTCTATCTCTCTCCCTTCCTCTCTGTATAAAATCAATAAAATATTTAAAAAAATAAAAAAATAAAAAAGAGAAAAGATGGGTTATCCTCCTGAAGTACTGCTACTGGTTTTTTAAAACCTTTTAAATGGGAGCATAGGAGACATAGAGGAAAATGCGAACAGCTAATGTTATAGCTCTGTTCTGACAGCAATGAAGACTCAGCCCCTCAGAGCAGCCTGTGGTGCCTTGTTCAGCCCTTAAACAGCTGTGCTAGTTCTATCTTGGTCTGTTTTCTGTATGTCAGAGCCAGTAGCCAATTATTTTCCCCAAGACTCTGGAATCATGAAGGATTTGTGCAATTTGTGTTATTAGGGGAAAATTAGCTTTCTTTTTTTTTTTAATTCATCAAAGGGTACATACATGTCACAGATGTAAAGATCTGGCATGGTATTTTTTTCATTAAATTTCACAGTTGCTACAAGATTGAGGTTATAGAACAGACTTTAAAATTGTCTTATATCATCAAATTCCCTATTCTTAACTGTGTTATTTTGGAAAACAGCATGAGGTAGGTTGTTATGGAAGCTTTTTGGCTAGCATGTGGGTTTTTGTCAATTTATTTATGCTTTAAGCAGTCACAAATTATGGTGTCTGTTAAATTAACCCTTGGTAAAGGGATGATTACTTGCACATATTAAAACTCTCTTTTTACTTGTTCGTCTTTTTCCATTGGAATAAAGACTTATGTTATGGGCCTGGTCTGAAATTTTTTTTAAAGATTTTTTATTAATTTAAGAGAGAGAGAAACATCAATGTGTATGCCCCCACTAAGGATCGAGCCCAAAATCTGGGCATGTGCCCTGACCAGGAGTTGAATAAGCAACCCTTAGGTGAAATAGGACAATGTCCAACAAGCTGAGCCACACGAGCCAGGGCTGAATTGTTTTTAAATTTGGGGTGAAAAATATAATTATTTTTTTTATAGAAGGAATATGAGAAAAATACCTTTATATGAGAAGGAATTAGAGTTCAATTGAAATGAGTATAGAATTTTTTTTATATGACTTGTCCACACTAAAGGCTTTCTCAGTTAGAGGCGAAGGAAAAATAATCAGTACATGATTTTTGTCCTTTTATACATTAAAGAAATGTGCCTAATGAGGGTACCACACTGAGAAAAGAGTTCTGCCCATAGGTTACCTGTATATTCTCAGAGCCTAGTCTAAGGCTTAATTCCAGTTATTCCCAGTATTCTTTTTAAAACCTCATGTTCCAACCAAGCTAGAATAATCACTGTTTCCAGAATTCCATGGCACTTCTCACAGAGAACGTGAAGGGAAGGGTAAGTAGTAGTCAGAAGAGAGAAACTAAGCTGTTGTAGTAATAGATGGAAGAGTGGATTCCTCCTACTCCCCTGAAGGCATACTAATTCTCTAACTGACAAAGTCTTCAAAAATGTGTAAGTCTTTAAAATATTATTCAACAAACCTTTATTGAGCTTTGTTTAACTCTGTACTAGGCCATAAAAACAAATAAAGCATGTTCTCTCCTTAAGTAGATTTACATTTTGGGGAGACAAGAGATAAGTCAACTAGTCATTTCAAGTTCACTATAGTAGATGTCACTTTACTCACATAGGCATGTAAAAATCAGACTGAAAAGAAGAGAAAGACTTTGGTCTTGTGTCATCTTGTTTGAGAGCCTTTTGAAATGCTGGGCCCTATTGTGTGGAGCCCAACACAGGGGAAACTGCCTTCCCACCCCTGCGTCTTTTTTTTCCAAGGCCAACCTGCCCCTGCTGCAGCGAGAACTGCTGCACTGCGCTCGCGCTGCCAAGCAGACCCCATCCCAGTACCTGGCTCAGCACGAACACCTTTTGCTCAACACAAGTATCGCTTCACCTGCTGACTCTTCAGAGCTGCTCATGGAAGTGCATGGAAATGGAAAGAGGCCCAGTCCAGAAAGGTGAGCAGAGAAGAGCTTGTTCATCCTTCCTGTTTCTGGAACCATTGAGCTTCCTCTTTACTTGTGAATTTTTTATTACTGTAGTCATAGATAGGTGTGCACTCAGAATGCTTCTCAAATCTATAGGTGTAGCTCCCAGATATGAGTTTTTTTTTTTTAAATGCTTCAGATGACTCTATGCCTCTGGTGAAATACTCTGGTCTAGAATATTCTATGTATCCATTGTTCTAGAACCATAAGAAACAAGCTGCCTAAGATATTTTTTTCTGTGTGGGGTTTTGTAAAGTCTAACAATTAGTTACTAATACATGTTAATGAATCACCATTATTTTGAAGGCTGACATTATTTTAATTAATCCTGGGTATTTCAGCATGAGTGTCCACCACAATATTTTATAGTTTGCCAAAGAAGAAATATTTTAACAGCAGTGGAAAATTATTATAATTGAAGCTAAATTACTAAAAGCCCAACCAATTCACAAGTCTATTATTTATTCAGCCTTTTTCCTTCAATGTAGAGAACTGTTTTCAATAACTGACCTCCACAGTAGCAAATTTCTAATCATTGTAGAACCCAGAGTCTTCCATATTCTTATCATATGGAAATGCCATTGTCTCCTTAGTCTCTCATTTTGCTTCATGAGGTTTAGTTATTTCTGCCTTATTGTGAGTGAATTTGACTTTTATTTTTATGCTGGAATAAATCAGCAGTGTCCATTATCTCTCTGAAGACATTTCAGTTCATGTCTTATGTCAAACCTTTTCTTATGGTCTTCCTGTTTGTGAAAATGCTTAGCACAATGTAGATGCTCAAGAATATGTTTGCATGAACATTTGTTGATGGGCTCAGATACCTACTTACCTTTTTTACAGGAGGGAAGACAACAGTTTTGAAAGAGATACAATTCCTCCTGAACCTCCTGCCAAGAGAGTATGTACAATCAGCCCTGCTCCTCGGCACAGTCCTGCCCTCACTGTACCCCTTATGAATCCTGGAGGCCAGTTCCATCCTACACCCCCACCTCTTCAGCACTACACCTTAGAAGATATTGCAACTTCCCACCTATATCGTGAGCCCAACAAGATGTTAGAACACCGAGAAGTTCGTGATAGACACCACAATCTTAGTAAGTGACATAAACCTTTTTCTTTTGTTTTTTTGTCTTTCATTATTGATTTATAGGAGTTTTAAAATATATTCTCAATGGTAATTTTTTGGTTGGTTTTATGTCATTTTGGGGGTCACACACTTTGTTGTGAATCATTCATTGCTTTCATAGTATACTCATAGTTCATATGAATGTGTATTTACTTGATAGAATTCTATTTACTGTATTCTTCACTCTATCCTCAAATTGAATCTCTAATTTCTAATAGGTCTAAATGGAGGCTATCAAGATGAGTTGGTAGATCACCGTTTGACAGAAAGGGAATGGGCTGATGAATGGAAACATCTTGATCATGTAAGAATCTTATGTATAATTTTCATATTTATTACTTTTAATTATTTTTTTTAAATTTCAGATAAGTGGGGTGTTTTTTTTTTTAATTTGATGTTGACGGTATTACAGATGTCCCCCAATTACCTGCTGTTTGCCCCCTTCCACCTAGCTCCTAACCCATCCCAGCCTTCACGACACTATTGTCTATGTCATGGGCTGTGCATTTTTAATGTTTTTATTGATATTAGAAGAAGGGAGAGAGAGAGAGAAACATCATTGATGAGAGAGAGTCATTGATCAACTGCTTCCTGCACACCTCCTACTGAGGATGGTACCCACAACCCAGGCATGTGCCCTGACCAGGAAGGGAATACAACTGTGACCCCTTGGTTCATGGGTCAACGTTCAACCACTGAGTGACACAGCTGGACTGCATTTATGTTCTTTGGTCAATCTCTTCCTGTCCCCTCTATACCCGTTCCCCCCATGCCCTGGGCCTAACTTGTTCGTACTTTTAATTCTTAATATCACCAATAGTAATAGAGTATGTATGTTTCAAGTGAACTTAACCAGAGCTACAGTGTCTTTGCAATAAAAGCTGATTTATCTATTAACTCTCCCAGCTAAAGAGCTAAGCATAACTCCCAAATCTTTGTGATCACTTCAAGTCTTAACCAAGTAAAGTCATGTTATAGAGGTTTGTGAGTTCAGATCCCAGCTTTGACACTTGTATCTTTGTTGTTTCCCCATTTCCCCCCTCTCCTTTTTTTTTTTAAAATTCAGCCGTAAAAATAATGAAATCTTACCATTTGCAACAACACAGATGGACCTAGAGAGTGTTATGCTAAGTAAAATAAGTCAGTCAGAGAAAGATAAATACCATATGATTTCACTCATGTAGAATCTAAAAAAAAACTAAAAAAAAAAAAATGCACGAACAATACCTAACAGGGACAAACTATAGATACAGAGAACAAACTGAAGTTGCCAGAGAGGAGAGGTAGGAGTAGGGGATGGGTGAAAAACATAAAGGAGATTAAGAAATACAAACTTCCAATTATAAAATAAATGTCATGTGGATGTAATATACACCATAGGAGATATAGTCAATAATCCTATATAATAAAAGCCTAGGTGGTGTCACTCCCTCACACAACATCATCACCAGATAGCCACCACAAGATGGCCACATCCACAGTGGAGTTAGGGTCTAGTGGCCGCCCTGCACTATGAGGCCTGGAAGTCCCCAAGGCTCCAGGCTGCATGAAGGAGGCCGGTCCCAACCTCTTCACCACCTTGCACATAGGAGGTGGTTCACAGCAGGCAAGGGCAGTTGGGGGTGATCAGGCCGTCAGGGGAGCAATTAGGGGGTGATCAGGCTGGCAGACAGAAGCAGTTAGAGGCAATCAGGCTGGCAGGGAGCACGGTTATGAGCCAGCGGTCCCAGATTGTGAGAGGGATCCCAGATTGGAGAGGGTACAGGCTGGGTTGATGAATAGTCCTCCTGTGTATGAATTTCATGCACTAGGCCTCTTGTATTATCAGTGTCAGATGGTTACTGTATTTATCATGGTGATCCCTTTGTAAGGTATATAAATATCAAGTCATTATGTTGTATCCCTGAAACTAATATAATATTGTATATTAAATGTAATTTTAAAAGTCTATTTTTTCTTTGATTAAAACTTGGTATTTGAATATATTTGAGGGTTGTAACAATATGTAAGGTGCTAATCACAGGACATGGTATGTATGAAGTGTTAATGGATGGAGCTTCTCCAAAAACAAATGAGAATCAGAATGCCAGTACAGAATACAAGCCCAAGTTCTCTGTCTCATTGTAAGTGAGGGTTTCCCTTCTCACTAAAAGGAAAGAGAAGATATAGTACTGCATTAAGTATATATACAGTAGCTCTTTGAATCTTGAGTGGTAAAAATTGTCTCTGAATGTTATTTCTCTGATAACATTCTTTTTAAAAAATATATATTTTATTGATTTTTTTTACAGAGATGAAGGGAGAGGGAGAGTTAGAAACATTGATGAGAGAGAAACATCAATCAGCTGCCTCCTGAACACTCCCTGTTGGGGATGTGCTCACAACCAAGATACATGCCCTTGACTGGAATCGAACCTGGGACCCTTCAGTCCGCAGGCCGATGCTCTATTCACTGAACCAAACTGGTTAGGGTTCTTTTTTTTTTTTTAAATTAAATTACTATCTGTGTACATATTTTATCATTGCCACCCCCCCCCCCAATAACATTCTTAATAAATCGCCAGCTTCAGCAGATAACTTGGTGTGTTTATGCAAATATATGAGGTTTCACCAAAGTCTTTTGGTTTTTAAGTATTGTTTTTATTCTCATTAATTTATTTTTATTTTTTTATTGTTGTCAGTATAACATATATATTCTACTCCCCCCTTTACCCTCCTCCACTTAGTCCCTACCCATCCACCCACTCCAGGTCTTCACCAGCATATTATCATTTCCATGGTCACCATAGTCTTTAAAGGGCTATATTATAATGAGGGTCTGGTTACTTCAACTTTAAAGAATCCAGTGTTATTTTGAAATCCAAACAAAAAATAAATTGTGTGTGTGTGTACACATATTTATATAAACTAAATATTTTTAAAGAAGCTGTAATAAAGGCTTTAAAATGTAAGCTTGATATTGTGTCTATAAGACCTTTAAACCTTCATTATTTATATAATTTGTTTACCTATCCTTGATTTGCAACATCAGTGTTTGAATGTCTTCATCTCATCACTGCCTGACTTCTTCTCTGGTTCAGGCCCTGAACTGCATTATGGAAATGGTAGAAAAAACAAGGCGCTCTATGGCAGTTCTGCGGCGCTGTCAGGAATCTGATCGTGATGAACTCAACTACTGGAAAAGACGATATAACGAAAATACAGAGATGAGGAAAACAGGGAATGAACTGGTCTCCAGGCAGCACAGTCCTGGAAGCGCAGATTCTCTCAGCAGTGGTAAGATGGCAAGACCAGCTTTTATATTTCACTTTAAAGGAAGGTAGTGCTAGAATGTGGAGTTAAAAAGACCCAGATGATTATGAAGAGTAAATGATAAAATATTTCAAGGACTCGGTATTTAGCATGTTCAGGAACTTTTGTCTTTCTCATGAAAAATGAGAATATTTGTGATCTTGTTCTGTTTTTAACTCTCTGTATATGTGCTAGATGATGATAAAAGAGTATTTGGTTATTAAATTCAGCATGGCTGAATGTACTAGATACTCTTATGTACATTACATTTATTCCTCACTGTAGCCCTGAACACGTTTGCCTCACTTTCCCTTGTCTTTTTCCAACTCCACATCCAGGAAAATACTATTTTCAACCTCTGCCTGGATGTCTCTACAAAAGATTTTACTGTATCAATCTGGGCTGTCCCTTTCTCCTGCCTGAAGCAGCAACTGTTCTCTCAATCCAGGGTACATCTAGGATGCCAAATCTATTCCCTCCAAAGTGTTCCGTCACATTCACCTAATAACTGAAAAGGTGCCTTATCTAAAGATACAGATCAATGAGGGGCCGTCTGATAGTTTCTTTCCTCACCCACTCAGTTCAAGCTCCAGAGTCTCACCAGGAAAATCTCCTATGACAGACCTAGTATGTTCCACAGAAGACAGTTGTTAGCCTCAAAAAGACAAAAAAAAAAATTATACAAAAAGATTGGAATCCCACAGTCCCACCTCATTCACAGAAGTGACTCGAGCCAACCATAAGTTAGCAATATTGGGAGATCTAGCACAGCAAGATATCAAAGAATACCTTTAACAACTTGCAGAAATTTACCCAAAGTACACCATCCAAATCACAAACTTTCCATCAACAAGTCTGCATGAATGCAAAGTGAGATATGTAGTCAGGAGTCAGTTCTTCTCCCACCAGGATTGCAATTTTTGCTTTGCATCAACCTCTACTCATTTTCACCCTTTTCTTGAGGGTCTAGCTAGGATGAATATATGTTCTAATTTGCCTGGCAAAGTTCCAGTTTATCCTGTCTTAATAATTACTAGCACCTACCTCACTCTCAAATGAGGACAGTTGGGATAATAAATAGGCACTCTAAGTTTTAGTTCTTCACATATCCAGTGTTTCATTCTCTCAGATTTCTCAGGGATATTAATTTGTCTGACTTGAACAGTATCTTTTAGTATCTACTTAATATTTTTATTTCACTGTTTTTTGTTCTACATATCCATTGCAGTGTAGAAGGGGAAGCATAATTCATATCCTAAACTAGTGTGCTATTTAAAATTTGACCAAAACTAAAAAAAAAAAAAAAAAAAAAAAATGTGACCAAAATCACTGGTCTGTGATTGATATGAGACGCTTACCCCAGCAGCATGTATCAGGCACCATTAGCTTCACTATGAGAAGAGTCCTCTGCACTAAGCAGTGTGCTTAAGACATAGTTGCTTTGTGTTCTGGTGTAAGTCCCATATCTCTTCACAGACAAAAAAACAACAGTTTGCAGACCAGCACTGTGAATAGCACTCTCCTACACTGAACTACAGTATATTTTGAGGCCTAGCACACACACACACACCAAGGACTTTTAAACGACTAGATAATTCATGTTCTGGGTTTTACAGAAACCTTGGTTGATTTTTATTGAAGTATTTAGTATTTAAGTGTTTGGGTGATTTGGAAAGAAAGTGATTGGAGACTGAATGATATTATTACTTTACTCACCTATATATATAAAAGCCTAATATGCTAAGTCCAATCAACTGGTTGACCATTCGACCAATCGCTATGACCCACATTGACCACCAGGGGACAGATGTTACAAATGATTAGAGTGTGAGGTCTCATCATCTTATCAGCTGTTCTCAGAACAGGATTACTGTTTATCATAATTTAAACAACACTGAGGTTTACCACTTGATTTTCTTGGGGATTTTGTGTTTTTGGAAGTGTTTTCTTTCTTGACCTGGGAGCTAATGAGTGTTCACTTTATAATTTTTCATTAATTTATACATTAATGTTTTTATAAACCTGTTAGCCATTTAATGTTTTGGCAATTAAAAGAATTTTAATGAAAGAAACTGACTCAGCTGTCAATTTTTCCCAGTTTTTCTGGGAATGTGATTAATCTGGCCATTTATTATAAGTACACATTCCAGGACTTTTCCCGGAGGTTATCATTTGGGGACCAATGAATCTGAATATAGATGTTTAATGAATCCAGTGATCAGGCAAGTTAGAGAGAAAACGATTTTAAAAAAATAGAGTTTCTGTCAAACTCATATATTCAAATCATGACTTTCAGAAATGTTGAACAGAACAGAAAGTGAAAATAGAATAGTTATTGAAGTAATTCAGAAATTTTTAAAAAATATATATTTTATTGATTTTATACAGAGAGGAAGGGAGAGAGAAAGAGAGTTAGAAACATCGATGAGAGAGAGTCATTGATCAGCTGCCTCTTCACACCCCCTACTGGGGATATGCCCACAACCAAGGTACATGCCCTTTACCGGAATCGAACCCGGGTCCCTTCAGTCCCCAAGCCGACGCTCTATCCATTGAGCCAAACCAGTTTCGGCTAATTCAGAAAATTTACTCATAACTGAAAGACAGTATTGCAGGTTGAACCATCCTACCAAGTAAACAACACTGGAAGAAACAGACTTATCAGTGTGTATCACTGGAAGTTAGAATAAATACAAATCTGAAGGAAAGTTACTTTGCTTAAAATTCTGTACTCAACCAAAAACAATTAACTGTTAGATTAACAACCCCTTTATTGTAGTGTCTACTAGGTTAGGAAGGAAAGTACAGGGAAGTAAACCAGAAGGTGGAAGACATAATTGATGAAATAGGAACCAGCTTGAGAAAGAGCCGAAAGGAATCCCTAGGATAGTGAGGGAGGATCCCAAGCTACAATGGTACAACAAGCCTAGAATGTAGCCAATTCAGACTGTAATAGCCCAGAATGTACATGCCCCTGTCCGGAATCAAACCTGGGACCTTTCAGTCCGCGACTGACGCTCTACCACTGAGCCAAACCGGTTTTGGCTAGCCCCCCATTTTTGACCCATTCATTTGCATTATTTGTCTGGCCTTTGATTACAGTAGCCTCTGAATCACTAGTTTTCTTAGTGATCCACCTGAAAATCCTGACTTCTGTCTCTGGCTTTGGGAAATATGCAAATGTCCCTAGCTCCCAGGCATTTCTTGAGTAAGCTGAGAAGTTTTAGGGTCAGGTACATCTCACCATTTATATTTGTCAGAAAAATAAAATGCTGAGGATTGGGCGGGTCCTCAAAGGATATGACCAAGGCTTATTGATAACTGAAGTAGAGTGGCTTAGACAGCCACGTCCTCACAAGTAAACAAGTGTTTCTTATCTCATTTCACATCCATGATTGCTTATCTACACTCAAAACCCCCTTTCTTACTGGCTTTCCTTGGGGGTGGGGAAGGACTCAGTTGAAATTGACCCACCTTCTTCGCTTATGTTACCTTGCCTCTTCCAGTCCTAGATTCCCTCCCCCCCCCATATTACATCAGTCTCATATTTAGGTATGAGATTTGAATCATGGACTTCACCTATGTTGAAAAGAGCCCTTCAGTTTTCTTTTTATTGGCAGTGATGATAACATTTTCTACAGAGCACAATATCATAAAAAGTATTAATACTATCAAAATGTTAAACCTAGGGATTCCCTTTTGGGGTGATGGTAATGTTCTGGAACTAGATTAGGGTGACAGTTGGACAACATTGTGAATGTACAAAAAATATCACTGAATGATACTTTATACTCTAAAATGATAAGTGTTACGTGTATTTTCCAGGATTAAAAAATCTCTTTGCCCTAGCCAGTTTGACTCAGTGGATAGAGCATCGGCCCCAGGACTGAAGGGCCCTGGATTTGATTCCAATCAAGGGCACATACCTCAGTTGCAGATGTGCAGGAGGCAACCAATTGATGTGTCTCTCTCCCATCGCTATTTCTCTCTGTGTGTGTCTCCCCTTCCCTTCCACTTTCTCTAAAAATCAATGGAAAAATATCCTTGGGGGGAGGATTAACTAAAATAAATAAAAATCTCCTCATCCTCTCACAGCTTGGGGGAGATATGGTAGTATGTTCTTTGTGCAAATTCTCTCTCTATTCAAAACCAGTTTGCAGCCAGTTCCCAGGCATTCTCACGAAAACTAACCATTTTATAAAGCCTCTTGGGCAAATGTTTTGTGCCGGGCTGGCCTCCCCTGCCACACTGGCTGTTCTCCTGATTCCTCTTTGCCCCACGGATTGGTGAGTGTGTAGAGCAATAAATCTACTTTTCAGATTAACCTCAACAAAGTATAAGGAAGTGAGGGAGGCTCTGGCTGGGTAGCTCAGTTGGTTAGAGCATTGTCCCAATACACCAAGGTTGCAGGTACCATCCCCAGTCAGGGCACACACAAGACTCAAACAGTGAATGCATAAATAAGTGGAACAGCATATCAGTGTTTCTCAAATCAGTTTTTTTAAAAAATGAAGGAGTCCACTAACATTAAAAAACAATAACATTCACATTACCTTAATTAGTTTTCACAGTTTTGAAAGCAATAGAACCATTTCTTATATAATATTACATTTTACAACCACAGTACATACATGATAAGTCACCCTCCACCCTTGTGTCTTTCCCAGAATCCCTGGAATGCCTCTTTATGGTACATTTGACATGCACTGTTCTAGTTCAGACTATTTTCACTGCTTGGTGTGTGTGTGTGTGTGTGTTTGTTTATGAATATTTAAAGAAATTTACAGGAAACATCCTTAAATCACATGTAAGGGTTCAGACCTGCCAAGAAACAAAAGCTATATTCTCTGACATACCTACAGAGCATTTGCCAGTAGTGCCCTGTGCATGATGGGGACAGTTCAGTTCATTTAATACGAAAACACACATATGTAACACATAAATATCTATAGTTATTTATATTTTATGAAGTACCTTAGAAATACATATATGTGCAGAAGGGAAAATAAGGACACATTGATAAGTAGAAAGTGGAGATCACTTTTAATCTCACTATTTTGAAATATTGTGAATATCTGAGGCATGCAGGTATGTGTTTTAAAAGTAAAAATTAAGCTCTAGCCAGTTTTCTCATTGGATAGAGTATCAGCCTGTGGACTGAAGGGTCCCGGGTTTGATTTCAGTCAAGGGCATGCACCTCAGTTGCAGGCTTCCCCAGATCTGGTTGGGTGTGCAGGAGACAACCAATCAACGTGTCTCTCTCACATTGGTGTTTCTGTCTGTCCCTCTCCCTTCCACTCTCTCTAAAAATCAATGGTAAAAATATCCTCGAGTGAGGATTTAAAATTAAAAATTAAGTGTGCTGTTTTACAATCAGATTTTATCCCTTATCAGAATATTTTTGCACTAAGTGAACATATATTTTTGAGTCTTAAGTGGAAAAGATCTGGTAAGTTTTTCATAAAAAGAAAACATGCCGACCATAGATCATTTCTGACCCTTGCTACTTATCTCTCTCCTGTAGATCCTCAGCGGGAATTCAACAGTAGGCCAGCAACAGGATATGTACCTGTGGAATTTTGGAAAAAAACCGGTATGTGCCTGTCTCCTTATAGGTTGCATGTACTCACTGATTTGTGTCAGAGTGCAGCACATATTTGAGGGAAAGGTGGTTTGTCTCATAACACCCTCCTCATAGAACTCTAGGCTACTGCCTCTCTCCCCCAGCTTTCCCACACATCTGGATGTCCCTCATGTTACTTTGCAGGTCAAGAATTTGGAATGCCTCCCAGCAGACCGTGCAGGTCCCTTTAATATGCTTCTGGGTCACACTCAGACATTAAGGAACCAACTCTTTCTTCCCTATGTATTGGAGTCTCTGTTTCTGGCCATGTAGCTTAATTCGTTTCTGCCTGTTCTGGTCACTAGAATCTGCACACACTGTACTCACACACTACCACATTTCATTTATTCTGTTCTTGAAAAAACTGTTTTTCCTTTCACCTTCACTGTCCCCAGCTTCATCAAATTAGTTCTGGGGCGGCCTCGGTTTCTACAAGAATAAAGAAGGTGGGACTGCCTATTGTGGTAAGATAGGGATTTAAATTAATATCTCATTCTTAATATTTATCTCATCCAAATTCTAGCTACCTTTTCTTCTTGCCTGCCTTTCCTAGTTACATTTATTTTTAGCCCAATATAGTTTTTATTTCCTTCTTAAGATAAAATTTATTTCTACAAAAAGTTAATACCTATCATTCAGAAAGACTTTCAAGACCATCAAGAATCTAATAAACAAATGGACAAATTATGAGAAATTTACATAAACACGTTGCAAAATGTTTATTTTTACTGGCAATCCAAAAAATTTCCTTGCACAAGATCTTCGTTGTAACTGGTGATTTTCTACTTGGAGGTACCTTTGGTTAACTTTGGTTAAGAACCAGATTATGGCATTAGGCCAGCTAAATTTGAGTCCTTGTTCTGATCTAGTGCCACCTGTGACCTTGAATTACTTTGAGCAAGATAGTTATTCAAACTGTGATTTTTTTTTTTAAATATATTTTATTGATTTTTAACAGAGAGGAAGAGAGAGTTAAAGAGTTGGAAACATCAATGAGAGAAACATCAACCAGCTGCCTCCTGCATACCCCCTACCGGGGATTGCCCACAACCAAAGTACATGCCCTTGACTGGAATCCAACCTGGGACCCTTCAGTCCGCAGGCCGATGCTCTATCCACTGAGCCAAACCGGTTTCGGCCAAACTGATTTTTATTGATCCTTAAACTTAGAGGATAAATGTTCTTCAGGGCATTATGTTGGCTCAATAAGAGAGACTTAATACCTATTTGGTAACTAGTAGGATATGAAAGGTAGATGTGGTGAGCCACAATGAACTGTGTGGCTATCAAGAGTAAAGGAACCCTAGCTGGTTTGGCTCAGTGGATAGGATGTTGGCCTGCAGACTAAAAGGTCCCAGGTTTGATTCTGGTCAAAGGCACATGCTCAGGTTGTGAGCTCAGTCCCCAGTAAGGATCATGCAGGAGGCAGCCAATCAATGATTCTCTCTCATCATTGATGTTTCTATCTATCTCTCTCCCTCTCCCTTCCTCTCTGAAATCAATAAAAATACTTTTTTTTTTTTTTTTTTAAAGAGTAAAGGAAACATGGAGTTCAGTGCCAAGTCAACTCAGCATCATTCTTGCTTGGCCTTTGAGGTGAAAACTTTCCTTTCTTAAGGCTGGAGCAATAAAATGCAAAGTTCTATGATGATAGTCTAGAACCGTCGTCAGCCAACTGCGGCTCACAAGCCACATGCGATTCTTTGGCCCCTTGAGTGTGGCTCTTCCACAAAATACCTTGGCCTGGGCGAGTCTATTTTGAAGAATGGCGTTAGAAGAAGTTTAGAAATTTTGGCTCTCAAAAATTTCAATCGTTGTACTGTTAATATTTGGCTCTGTTGACTAATGAGTTTGCCGACCACTGGCCTAGAACACTCTGTTTAAACCTCCTTTGAGCATACAAGAGCCAAGCAGCAGGGAGCTTCCTTAGGCTTCTGTCATTTTGTGGTCTCAGGAGGGAGGTCATTTACATTGGGACTTAGGGCTGAGGCTCAAGTGCATAATAAATTATTTGGAGTAGCTGTCTCCAACCTTTTGGACCTCATGGCCCACCACCGGTTGGTGACCGTTGATTTGGAGTGCCCTTCCTATAGAAACCATGCAGGGTGATGATGGGAGAAAGTGACCAGGAGCCAAATGGGGTAATGGTAACTGGACAGGGCTGTGGAAGTCCAGGATTCCCAGCAACCTTCCCATTTTTCTCTACCTGGGTCAATATTATATACCAGCTGCCTCCTGTTCATTTATTCCTGGATGCCCCAGAGGCACCATAGCCTTCTCTTATCTCCACCCCAGCATTTTGCTTATGATTCGTTCTGTTGCATACCACTACCGTCCTTCCCTTTTACCTTCACCTCCAGACCCCTAGATGCTGCTGATCTCGTTCTGCCTCCCTCCCTTACTCTGTGCTACTTGCTTCTGCCTAAATTCAGAGACTGTTCTATCTCTTCTAAATTGTCCCAGTCTCTTGATTGGTTCTTTAGCCCTTTAGCCTTCATTTTTCTCTCCTTGCGTAGAACCCTTTAGATTTAGAGTTCACATTTTCTTTAGACAAAGGGCCAAATTCCTTAGCATGAGGTGCAAGACTTTCCAAAAATTCATCTCCACCTCCCATCTCAACCAGGACATGTACTCTCATAAAGCTGACCACTTTCCCTCTGGCTCTCATACTGACACCTAAACCACCTTTATACTTATCATAAACAGTTATGAGAATATAGACTATGTCTTAGTCACCTAGCTGTCCCCAGTCCCAAGCACAGTGCCCACCTCCAACTATATACTCAATAAATGGTTGCATGAATGAACAAGTGAGTGTAAGAATACAAGTGAACACATGGGTCATATGTTCATCCCTGTGTATTTTTTTAAAAAGTCATCTAATTTTAGTTTTGTCCCTATTTAGAAATGATGTGGGGTGGGAGGGAAAAGATTTATCGGCCAGTTGATTTTACTGTCACTTTCTTCTAGAAGAAGCTGTGAATAAGGTGAAAATTCAGGCCATGTCAGAAGTACAGAAAGCCGTTGCTGAGGCAGAGCAAAAAGCCTTTGAAGTGATTGCAACAGAGAGAGCTCGGATGGAGCAAACCATAGCCGACGTCAAACGGCAGGCCGCAGAGGATGCCTTCCTTGTCATAAATGAACAAGAAGAGTCAACGGAGGTCTGAGTTCTGTTAGTCCTGGGGGCTGGGACTGGGGCTGGGGCTGGGGTTGGGGTTCAGGCAGCTGGAATGAACCAGCCCACTGCTTTCTGCTTAAGTGCTAGGCAGCAAGACAGAACCATCTGCTCTTGAACTACTGGATGATTATAATTACCCAGTACCAGAAGGGTTTTATTGCCAATTATACATGTAGTTATTTATATTTTAGGAAGTATCCTAAAAAGTGGGGCAAAAGTAGATTTACAGTTGTTCATATGGAAAATAATGCAATATTTAATAAATACAATAAACTCTTTCGCCCTGGGTGGTATGGCTCAGTTGGCTGGGCTTTCTCCTGTGTACCAAAAGGTAGCCTGTTGGATTCCTGGTCAGGGCACACAGCCTAGGTTGCAGGTTCAATCCCCAGTAGGGGGTGTGCAGGGGCAGCCTATCTATGTTTTGCCCTCACATTGATGATTCTTCTTCTTCCTTCCTCTCTCTGAAAAAATCAATAAAAAGTATTTTTTTAAAAAAGATAAACTCTGTGCTTCACATACTCATAGCTATAAACCTACTTTTGCCCCATCATGTATAATCTTATTATATTGATTTTAATTTTGAAAACTCACCCTAATACCTGAGTTTGTGGATTGCATGGTAATGCTGACATTCTCCTTCACTGAGTGGGTTTATGTACTGTGTGTCAGCCACAAAGCCAGGTGTGTGTATTGTCTTTTTGGTCCTCACAATGACTCTAGGAGGTAGGTGTTCCTGGATTCCAATCTCACAGGTGAGGAAACTGTGGATTAGGGACTTTTCCCAGTGCCAAAGCCAGGCTGCAGGAGTGAGAAAATGGAGCCCCTGTAGCATCTGGGCTGCTTGTAAAGAGGGTAGTTCTTTACAGGTTGAAGTGACTGATGGGGCAGATCGGCCCAACTCTCCATGGCCCAGGACTTGGTGATGCTTCTAAGAGAAACAAGACACTCTTGTACCACAGAGGATAAAAATAAACTAAGCGGGGAGGGGGTGGGAATAGCACATGACAAAAACACCAAGCCTGTTTTATTTCTAAATAGGTAAATTCCATCTACTAATTGAAAAATTAGCTATCTTTGGGACATTCTCTTTAAGTTATAAAAAACTGGGTATTTTAGTCAATTTGTTTTCTTTATTAAAAAATATATATTTTTGTTAATTCTCACCCAAGGATATTTTTCCATTGGTTTTTAGAGAGAGGAAGAGAAAGGGAGAGACAGAGAGAAACATTGATGTGTGTCACATTTATTGGTTGTCACCTGCATGCATCCTGACCAGGGCCAGGGAACCTGCATCTGAGGTGCATGCCCTTGACCAGAATTGAACCCAGTACCCTTCAGTCATCAGACCCACGTTCTATCCACTGAGCCAAACTGGCTAGGGCTGGTTTGTTTGTTTTCTTAAACAACAGGAAGTTTATTTTCTCAATCTTTTTAAGTGATTCCTTTCAATATAGCAATGCCAAGCATGACGATGTAAAGACAAAAATGTCTAAATGTCATGTGGCCATAACAGAAGATGTGGAAAATTCTTTACTGTAACATTCTATAAAAGACACCGGCTTGTGAGGAAATAGTTTATTTAATTTACCCTGTAGACTGTGCAGTGATACCAGGTTTCAGATGAGTGAATGGTGAGAATGCAATTTCTCCAAAATTTTACTTTCTTTCAGAAATGTATGTTGCATTATGTGATCAAAAGTCATTTTTAATTGATTTCAGAGAGGAAGGGAGAGAGATAGAAACATCAATGATGAAAGCCAATCATTGCTCGCTGCCTCTTGCACACCCCGCACTGGGGATCAAGCCCACAACCCAAGCACGTGCCCTGACCGGAAATCGAATCGTGACCTCCTGATTCACGGAATGATGATTTGAAGGGCAACTGCATAATAAACTTCTTGTCTAACATCGTAGCCAAAGCCTCGTGATTAAGTCGGGAAATGTCAGGGGAAAGGGAACACAACAATGACCTGTTCACTCTGGTTGCTCTGACACCACAATGTTCCTGCATGTATAGACTGCTCCTGCCTCAGTGGGAAGCTGTTTTCCTTACCTTGTTTTATTATGTTTCATAAATTATTAAATGAGCAATTTTTAATAAAATGACATCTAAGCAAAAGTTCCAGTGCTTTAGTACTCTGCCCCAGTTTGAGACAGACTTGGGCAGAGGGAGTAGAAGTCTCCCGTCAGCTAGGGCTGCCCGGTTGGCCTGTTTTGACAGCAGCCCCAAGCAGATAACCACTGAGGTCTTCCCCACAAGTGGTAATGTTCTGCCAGCGCATTGTTTTCAGGCTCCAAAGTCTGGCGTTCTCTGGAATGCAGTTTGCTTCAGCCCTAAGAGTTACTTCAGCTTCCTATTTTGGTCCTCTGGCATTTGTGTTGGCAAGTTTAGGCAGTCCTTAGCGTGTATTTCCTGAGAAGCCTGTTGTGTTAGAGAGGAGTATACTGTCCTCTCTAATGTTCTTTGAAACTAAACTTCCACATTGAGAATAGTGCAGGCAGGAGATCCGGGTTTTAGACTTTGCATGACCACGTAATTTTTGTTACTCACCTGAGGATATGTTTTTATTGGTTTTTATTTATTTATTTTTTTGCTTATTCTTTACCCAAGGACATGCTGAGAGAGAGAAAAACATTGATCGATTGCCTTCCATACGCATCCCAATCAGGGATCAAACCTGCAATCCAGTTACATGCCCTGACCAAGAGTCCAGTTGGCAACCTTTTAGTGCAAGGATGGCACTCAAACCAACTGAGCCCTCTGACCAGGCTGTTTTTATTGATTTTAGCAGGAGAGGGAGGAAGACCATATATTCCCTGACTGGGAATGGAATCCATAACATTTTGGTGTATGGAACAATGCTCCAACCAACTGAGCCACACCGGCCAGGGCCAAGTAAACAAATTATAACCTTAGGCAAGTCCTTGCCTCAGTGTCCCATCTGTGCAACCCAAGAGGTGGGCCAGGTGGCTCTTGTCAACGCTTGCTGTCCTGTTGTCACTTGAGCAAGTGTCCTAATTCCATGGGGAGTGGTCAGACGGGCCTTGTGGTTGGCTCTGCTATTCTGGAGAACTTGAGGAGAGAGGAGCTGCTCAAGTCCTTCCAGATGCCTAAGAAATCATTGCCCTTTAGGCATTGGGGACATAAGGCTTTTCTCTTGTAAGTAGGCCTGGAGAATTGGGTGCGGAAAAAACACTTGTGTCACTACTGGAGCCACCACTGGAATATAGAGGAAGGAGGAGAGTACTGAGGAGCAGGTTTCAACTGCCTCTCTCCTGGCTGCTACTTGTAGCTCTCACCACGCCTCACAACCCCCTTGTCAAGGCACAACTGACTCTCTAATGGCTGCTACCTGTAGCTCTCACCACACCTCACAACCTAGGACAAGGCACAACTCCTAAAGGAGAATGGACACAGAGGAAGTAATATAACCATCTATGCTCCTGGCCGGTAACTTTTCTAAAAGATCAGGTGTTGTCATTGAAAATATGGTTATTCCTCTTCTGGGAAGACCAAGAGAAGAAACCATGTGTGGTCTTAGAATAGTTAGTTATGATGGGGGACACTGGGACAGAGTTAGGTTTGGCTACTGAGGAATAAATCGTTAGTGCCTTCAACAGGCTGTGGGGCTTCCGCCTGCCCTGCAGTGATGCTGTTTGTGTGTCTTCACATCCCCCGCATCTCACTGTCCCCTTAGTTGGGGTAGATACTCCTCCTGTGTTACTCAGGAAACTGAAAGCAGAGACAGGACAAGCACAGGTGTGTGTAGGTCCAAGCCCCCTCCTCTACAGGGCAGGTGATGAGTGATGACAAGCTTGCCCCACAATATCCAAGCAACTAACCGGTGTCTGTGCTTGCAGAACTGCTGGAACTGTGGCCGCAAAGCCAGCGAGACCTGCAGCGGCTGCAATATCGCACGGTACTGCGGCTCTTTCTGCCAGCATAAGGACTGGGAGCGGCACCACCGCCTCTGTGGCCAGAACCTGCATGGCCAGAGTCCCCACAGCCAGAGCCGGCCACTGCTTCCTGGAGGGCGGTCAGCCAGGTCTGCCGATTGCAGCGTGCCAAGCCCAGCGCTGGACAAGACCTCCGCAACCACCTCGCGTTCCTCAACACCTGCCTCTGTGACAGCCATCGACAGCAACGGACTCTGAGCCCGGGCTCCTTCCCCTGATGACCTCACGGCACCAGGGCTGGACCAGGACAAGTAGCTGCTGGGTCATTAGCAAGAAGTGAAGTGGAGGCAGAAAGAGTCCAAGCCCAGCAAACACTGCTCACAGCCTCTCCAGACACCTGTCCCGGTTTCCCATCTGTGTCCTTGGGGGAAATAGTGTGCACACAGGCAGTTGGCTGGAGCTGCCTCTTCCATGGCTTTCTGGTGTGTTCCTCTCCCAGCTGGAGCTGGCGTGGCGGACGCCTTTTCAGTGTAGACCAGCTCCCCTCCCACCTCTTGAGGCAGCAGACTGTCATACGTGCCCGGCCAGGCTGGAGGCAGCTGGCCCCATGCACCGTCTCCTGCTCCACTGTCCTCCCACAGCAGAGGCCTGGAGGCTGAGAGCAGGCTGTGGAGAGGGTCCTCCTGACAGGGAGTGGCCCCCTCATCCCCAACAGCTTCATGAGCCCATTTCCACCCTCAGCAGATGCCACTGATTGGCCGCAAGGGGACTTGGGGAGGCAAAAAGCAGCACTCAGGACTCCCCTGACCCTGCTGTTCAGACTTGTTAAAATTCTCAGAAACCACAGCAAAGTCACCATTTTAGTAAAAGCACCCATTACAATAAAAAATAAATAAAACTTCCACCAAGCATCGCAGATCATCTTGGATAAGGTTTTCCTACCTGCCTGGCTGCTTTTGTTTGGAACCCAGTTCTCTCTCTGATTTGATTTTGCTTGTGCAGAAAAGTTTCCCACACATGGATTGGTCTGAAGAAGAATGAAGCTCAGGTGTAGATTAGTCTGTTCTCCCTGAGCATTTTGGCCAACTACTACCGTCAAGTTGTTGGATGGATCATCTTTCGGAAACACAGAACCTCTTGTCACCGCTTGGCTGTGCGCACAGTCATCTTGTTCTGTGTCTTCTTATCTTGGACCGCGTGTCCAGATCACAGTGTGTATGGTCTCTGTTTGGCACCTCTGAAGCCACAGTTGCCCCAGAGGATGTGATGTGGTGTGACTAGGACTCGCCTCACTAATCAGGGCCTGGTTACTTCTGAGCAGCCCTCATGGACCAGAGTCCCCACAGCCAGAGCCGGCCACTGCTTCAGACATCATGGTTTCATGTCATCACACAGAACTGCATCAGTTTACTATTGGACACACAATCTCAGATTCCCTTCTCGTGTGTTTGATACATAGCCATTTTGAGCTAAGAAATTTTGTGAAATGTGAGAACCATTGACCAGTTTTTCTTCCTATCTTCAGGGAGTTTTCCAGCTATTGACCTGGTTCTCCAAATATGACATCCCCTAAACCTGTTTTAAAATGTTAACAACTGCCACACACTTTTTCCCTGACTTTTCTACTCTCCACCTCCAGCACCTTCTCTCCCCACGGAATCAGTTGGGTGTGTTGGTCAACCTTGCTCCTGCTGGCACTTAAGAGCGTGCTTTAGGTAGCCACTTTCTGTCACTGATGAGAGTGAAATAGAAGCTCTCATCCTATAAAGGGAAAGTAATCAGCATAGGTAGCATTGTCCTTGCTTTAAGAATTTCTAGTCCCTAACTGACCTTACCCAAGGATGTTCTATCTTATAAAGAAACTCAATACAAGGCACCTTTAAAATACGTTGCAGAAAGTAAAGTATACACAGAGAAGGAATAGTAGTAATGTTACATTGATTTGGAACTCTCAGCTGCAGTACTTGTGGGTGTTCTGACTTTAACAGGGATGAAGTCAGCAGCCCAGATGGGACTTGCCTAAATTTTCATAAGATACGGAATGCCCCCCAAGGAAGTCATGGGGCCTATAAATCAGTTTACAGCAAGAGAGTATTTCGAGGTGTCCATTGCGTCTGTTCTCAGCTCACTCACTGTCTTTTCATTGGCAAATCAGATGAACACCTAGGCAGGTTCTTTAATCTCTTTATATATATATATTGATTTCAGAGAGGAAGGGAGAGAGGGAGAAAGATACATCAATGATGAGAGAATCATCAATCAGCTGCCTCCTGCACGCCCCTCACTGGGGATCGAGCCTGCAATCCTGACATGTGCCCTTGACAGGAATCGAACCTGGGACCCTTCAGTCCACAGACTGATGCTCTATCCACTGAGCCAAACCAGCTAGGATGGGGTTCTTTAATCTTAAGTACCCACAAGACTAGACAGGGTAGATCAGATTTTTCCCGGTTGAAATAAAGACCAAAAATCAACAAAATATTATCAGAGCTTCATGTTCTTTTCTTAAGTGAAGGCATAGGTTTAGTTGTGCAGGTCCTAGCTGACTCTTTGTGGGCTGTGGTTCCAATGATAGCTTAGTTTTTGTGATGCTATTCAATACTCATGTTCTACCAAGAGTCCAAGCTGAAAACCTCGGCGGTATTTGGTCAGTTTCACATGGGTTGCAGGCACCTGTTGAAGACTCACTATTTAGCTAGAAAGAATTCCTTTCTCTAGCTTCCTTTCTGAAATTCTCCAGCTCTCTGGTTGGGAGGAAGTGATGGCACTGGCAGTGTCTCGGGATGGAGTGATGGCACTGGAGAGGCAGGGCTGAGTCTGAGTTCCCTACTAATTTCCAGTTTCTGCTAATACCACCCCAGCTACCAGGTGGGGTATCAAGTTCAGGCTTCCCACCTTCATCTAGTTGGATTTTAAATATTTTTATATAATCAGGTTTCTTAGAGGACCAACTTTTATAGCTTATATTTGGGGGGACAAAAAGAAGAGTTCGGGGTGATGGTGCTGAAGATGTTATCAAGGCAGTCACAGGTTCTTCAGTGTTACCCTAAAAGTCAAAAGCAAATGTGATACATGTTGCCCAGTATCACCCCAATAAATTTAATAAATTTTAAAAACAAGCGACACAAGCCTGCCCAACAGTCAGAGCACATCTGGAGGATGAGGCCAGTGTTCAGGGATACTGACAAGTGATGGGAAATCATTGTCCCAGTGAAGAACGGTTGTGGGAACCAGAGAAGAGCAGAGGAGACCAGTGTGGGTGCGTTAGATGTTCCGAGGGATACTTGAGGGCTGGCCCCTCAGATCTTCAGTCGCCTTCTGTGTCCCCACTGCCTGCAGCGTGCCTGGCTCTACCTCGTGGTGAAAACTGAGTCTGGAAGAAGTTTGTTCATTTCACCTGCACAGGAATAGCCACCCACCTCCTGAGGTGTGAGCACTCCACTTTGGGGGGCTCTTCAGCTCCAGGGGCCATGGGCCCTAAGGTCACCGAGTGAGTGGATCTTTTCCTGGACCGTGCTGAGTGGTGTGTGTGTCTCAGTGGATCTAAGTCTGGGAAAAGGACACATCTACCCAGCATGGGTACGTCTGAACTGGCTGCAGTGCCCATCCAGGCCAGTTGGTCTACCAGGAGCCCCTCACTTCAATGTGAGCATCTTCAGCTTCCTGACGGAAAACCTGCACTTGACTTTGTGCAGTCTATTCCAAAGCCGAATTGATAGCCAGTGCTATCACCTGCTTGCAAAGAGTGTAGACCTCGTTGTAGGTAGCTCCAGAATAGATCTCAGCAAGTGGATGTGAAGGTTCAACAACACAAATGGGAATTGTATGCTGGCGAATTCTTCAGAATGAAAGCATAGGTGATGACCAGCTGGCTGTTTGTCCTGGAAATTGTGGAAGGGATTATGGATTGAATAAATCATTTCAAATAGAATATATCTTGGAGGCTTTCTTCAGAACTGGTTTCTAGACTCCCAGGTGAGTTGACCAAGCCAACTTTCTTAAATTTATTATTTTTTAGCTCTTTGCAGAAAACCGGGTGGTGGTGTGTTTGAACCAAATGTAAGAAAAGCCAGAGGAACCTGGGCTGTTCCCACATGGGCCAGACAGCCACTGTCAGGAGGAGTCCTGTCCGGGGTGGGGTGGGCACTGGGCCAGCTGCCCAATAGGACCCTTCCAGCTCTGGGTGCCTAGTTCTTGTGAAACCAAAACGTTGACTCCCTGCCTCTTTGCCCACATGCTTTGACATGCTCATTTCCAAAGATGATGCAGGTGACCTTTTCCACCGAGGGCCAGAAGGTCAGAGGCCTGAGGGCAGCGGGCCTTGCATCCTCCCTCCCTTCCGCAGCCACAGAGATGGTGCTTCCCCTGCAGACCCCCTCTGGCCCGATCCACTGCTGCCCAGCATACACTCATGATGCTTATACCAAATAGGGCATGTGTGGCTAGCGGCTGGCGGGGACAGCCCTGTCCCTGCGGCGGAGTCGGCAAAGAAGCAGCAATACGCATTAGGTGAATGGCTGAAAGTGCTGTTTGGCTAAGAGACCTTGGGTCCACTTTCATAGCTTTCCAAGTTCCTGATGAGGCTACAAAAGCTCCGATTGTAAAAGAAAGCCAATAATGTAAATAAAAAACGAAGCCTCCAAGCGCGGTTTTTTAAGGGATTCGATGAATGAAACCACCCACAGGATGCGGTAGGTCTGATTTTCTGTGCTTTGTCATTTCTCTGATAGGAACTTTGTCACTTAACTCTGTGCATAACTTATTTAATGTACTGTATAAACGAACCAAAACTGTTACATATGTATTTAGTTTGTTCTACTTAAAGTAGTCAATAAAAAGGCTATATTCCTTTTGTGACTCAAACTGGAATGCCACTGGGAGGGAAGGCGGCAGGTGCACTGAGACATCTGACAGGCTTCTGCGTCCTCCTCTCTCTTCCCGTCTTTGGCGGAGGGCGGGGGTGGGAGTGGGCGTGGGCAGACCTCCAGTGGTCCTTGCAGCTGCCCAAAGTGCCACCAGAGGAATGAAAGCAGGATTTGCTAAAGAGGTGGTTCCAGCCGCTAGGCCTACGGGAAGCCAGTGAGGGGCCCAGCCTCACTGGGCTGGCTGCTCGTGCCTTTGCCTGCCACCCAGTGGGCCTGTGGTTAATGCCAAACAGCTTCCAGACGCCCAACTCCTTGTTAGTTTCTTCACCCTTAAGTGATTTAATAAGGAAACAACCACAGAAAGTTTGAAATGTTTCATGTCCTTTTTATACT